GTATAAATGCGTAATAGCGTATTGTTGTAAATTGATAAACGTAAATACTAATTAAATTAAGTAATAAAAAATTGGACATAATTCAATGGCATTCTTTAAGCAATGAAAAATTTCAGACCTAGTTTTATTTTAATATAAATAACGCTGTACAGGTAAGTAAAGCGTAAAGCTACGCTCTGGCTCTACTTTCTGTATTATTTAATGACCATGATTTATTTTTCCTGGTAAGCRTTGGGTTTCCGAGGATTTTTCACTTACGGCCAAGAATTTTTCGAGCGGTAGTCATTGGGACAAGTGTAACAATTTTGACCAACAAATTAATTCAATAATATCCGTTTGGCTGAATGAAATTATTTTTACCTTTCTGAGTGACATGCGCTTTAATGATGTATCGGTGTGTATTAATGTTCGACTTTACATATTAGTATATTACTCTATTAAATATATATATATATATGTACAAATTATGTATTTTTAAAGTTAGAGTTTATCATTAATTATTAATTGTGCATATCGTGTATGATTCGATTTGATTTTTTTTTTTTTTATTTATCAAGTGACAATGTTCATATGCAGTACTTAGATTTATATACCTGCAAACTTGTAATAACTTATTCACCCAAAACAGTATTTTTGATGGAATAAATACTCGTCCAAACGGTTAACGGGCCATATTTTAGGGGTCGTTCGCCCCAAACAGACTACGTCCGATTTTTACMATTTTTTATTCCAGTATTTTTTTCCAAACACCGTAACTACACGCCGATAATAATATAATACACACAAACACCATATATATATATATATATACTTATATATTACAGCCTACAGGTACTTACGGAAAATTCAGAGTGAGAATCAAGAAGCGACCTTCTCTAAGTCTCTTAAGGGGTGGTGAGTGGGTATAATGGCCATGTAATGATTTAGTATTAACTGTAAAAATAGGTATCCATAGTTTAGTAAATACGACCGAGTGTTTACAATTAATATAATTGATGACAGTGAATGTCTTAATCTCAAAAAGTCGTAATCAGTGTCAAGTTTCTTCAAGTTTCATATTGATGAACATTAGTGTTGGTGCTGACGTCAAGCTGAAAAGATAATAACGCATAATATTATTATGACAATGCAATACTCAAAAATCATAGCAAAAAATATAAAGTTTAAAAGTGTGAATAGTAATAATTATATCGTAAGGCTATTGGCTTTATCGAGTTATTGCGAGTGCTAACCACAGGATGGGTGAAATATTAAACTAACCTCCGATAATCTTCAAGTTCACCAAGCTTTTGTAGGTCATGTATAATATTATTATCTATAGTTTGACGACTATTGTTTTGTTTCGCGTTTCAACACAATAATAGTGTGCGCGATATC